ACCCAAATTAATTTCCTTCAATAATTTAGTACAACAACTTCAATAAGTATTAATACATTTGTTTGAATAAAAAGAAACCATTAGTCGATTACTTCTTTTCACAATTAAATTTTGTTATTCATTTTACTCGTCACCTTTTTGTTTTTGTTATTCAATTTTCATAAATAGCAACAATGATCGTTTCAGGATAAAAAATATTTTCCTTTTTGGCGTATCAAAAACGCTTACTATTAATGTTCAGCTAACTTTTCCCCTTTATTGTTGGTCGAAAGCTAAAGTTGATTCATAGTATATTCAAATTATTCCTAATAGGTTACTTTCATTGTCATTTGCACAAAATGTATACCTTTAGAATAAAACCGTATTGGATCTCATCATACTGCTAAATGAAATGAAAAAAAAAAAATTTCATTATTCATTAAAATTGCACACATTTTCAATGATATTATTGGTGAAATATTTCGTTAAATTTCAATAAATTTTGAAATCCTATAAATTATCATTTTGCAAAAATCATCTTATAACAATCATTTTAATGACATAAGTCTTGCATACAATAATTATATTTGAATAAACTTTTTGAATGTTTTCAACAACACACTTCGAATATTTAAAATGATTAAAAAAAAAAATGAAGAAATATTGCAAGAAAGCTAATAAAATGTACAGTAAAAATATTAGTTTCAATATTAAAAGCAAAAGTTCAATATGATATATTATAATAAATAATATGCCAATTCTACACAAAAAAAAAGAAAAAGAAAAACTTATCTGAACATGACAAAAAATTAGCTAATCCGATAATGAATATTCCAAAATAATATATCAGAAATTAATAAAATAGCAAATTATCACAAATATTTGCATCCTAAATATGATAATTCTCATAAATAAATGCAAACAAGTAATTCTGAAATTTAATTTTTTCTCTGAAATTTAACTCTGAAATTTAATTTTTAACTCTGAAATTTAATTTTTTTTTCTTCACAACTTTCTTTTATCATACTTATCACATGCGAACACAATTTCCATTTTAATAACGTTCATATCAGAGATAAAATATTATGATAAGGATTGTAATTTTCATGCAACTGTAATACATCCCATTTAATTTGCATATCAATCTTGCAATTGTATTTTAGTCATTTGACAAAGTAAGGCTAATTAATGTTGATATTAATTGGAAGTATGGGATATTTCGAAATTCATTCATTGTTATTTTTATTTAAAAGACAAATCTTTCCAGTAGTGTGATGAATTTTGATTCCAATAAATTATTTATATTCTCAATATCTTTTAAGAATAGCATATGGAATAATGATTGAGGAATGGAACATTCATACTTTTAATTTTCCTTCTTTTAATTTAATCGATATTCAAACAATTATGATAATTTTTACACTTCTTAATGCATATGAATAGGCCATTTTAACAAATTGAATAATATATTTAAGTATTTAAATAAAATACTAAACATATTTTTGATAAAAATAATTAAATATTTCACAAAATTCATCCACTAAAAAACAGTTCATTTTTTTTTCCTCCTTTATTGATTTTTCCTATTATTTTTCGATTTTTTTTTTCTTTTCTATTTTCTCTATTGATTTTTCCCAAATCTCTTCGTTAATTAAAGTAAAATATTCACAAAGAATTAAACTTTATTTGATCATTTTGATTTTTAAAATAAAAAACTTTCCAATCATATTTCGTAATTTCATCCAACAATTAATCTGTATTGTGCAGATACATTTCTTTTTGTTTTTTTTTTTCTTTTTCCGCAAAATTTAACCATTCATTTTTATTTGTTACACTTATCAAGTTTAGCATCCAATAAAACATACTTTTCTTTTTTTTTTGCTATCAATTGCAATTATTTAATTTTTCCACAATTACAAATCGCTTGCAAATACAATAAATTGGAATATTAAATTTCAAAAGTTGTGATTGCATGAAATCGAAAGCAGCATTCATCATCCAGCCATTCTTGATTTTGAATTTGACAATTAGACTGATTTTATGTGTCATTTCAATTAATTATACTATACGAGAAATTTGATCATTGAAAGATGAAGAGACGTGTATTGCTTTTGAAACCTGAAACAAGATGGGTTGATTGAAATGTCAAATGCTTGAAATGTTGAAATGTTTCATTATTATTTTTTAACAAACACCGAACAAAATCAACAATCAGTAGCTATCAGTGAAATTATCTGATAAGAAAAATACTCTACAATTAGTGTAATCGATTGATTAATTGCTGTTTAATTAACTAACAGTGATTAATTACCGCTTTCTCCTTCACAATTTTTTTTTTTTTTGTATGCAACGATATTTCAGCTTTTCACTCACAGTCATTTTGATATTTCAATTTTTAGGATTAAAATGGAAAATATTGCTAAAAAAATGGAAATATAAATTAAAAAAAAAGAATTTTAGAAATATCAAAATGATCAAATTAAGACTGAAAAATTAATTATTAAGATACCCTTACAAGTAATATACGGTTATGTTCAATTTCCAATCTTAGCATCGCAGCCATCCATTGGCTTTTATCCTACAGTAATTCCTCTTCTCTTCTCTTTTTTTTTTTCTTGATACATTTTGTATTTTAATAACTCTTTAAAATTTATCCTGAAACTACATATCCAATTCTTTGTTTGTAATATATTCTACAATTCATATTTTTTATTTGATTAAAATTCAAAAATTTGTTATGTGACATCATCTGCAACATAGAAATCACAGAAAGGAAATGAAATTAATAAACGAATCAAATTATGCAAAAATGAAACCGAAAGATATCATCACTATCAATAATTAAGCCTTCAGATTATATTGGCTAATATGTATGGCCA